CGAAAATAACACTCTCAAATGTTTGACATGTAAGTATAGAGCAATTATGTGATTTTAGTGATCTAATCGTCCTGTTTTACGAAACTTTGACACGTTAACGTTTTGTTTCACATTCTATTTTTTCATTATTATAAAGTAAAACTAATATGACGGAATAAGCAATTAATTTCGGATAAAACAGTACATTTTAGAATTCTTAAGATTTTATGTCCGGTGGTTGTTAAATTTGCCAATAAAAAGGTAAATTTTGCAAAAGCCTTAATCTTACGTTCTTAATTACTATTAACATCTGACGTCACATAACTACACGATTCAGTCTATAGAAATTACACTTAATTTCGCATTTTTGACACACCAGTTAAATTTGACATTAAATGCTTTTTGTCAGAAAGAAAGCAACCATTATTTCCACGTCTTAATAGTGAGTGGAGCTATCAACAAATACTGCCCTGAAAGCTAAATCAATATTTCCACGTCTTAATACTGAGTGGAGCTAACAACAACACTGCCCTGAAAGCTAAATCATTATTTCCACGTCTTAATACTGAGTGGAGCTAACAACAACGCTGCCCTGAAAGTTAAATCAATATTTCTACGTCTTAATACTGAATGGAACTACCAACAACGCTGCTCTGAAAAGAAACGTGTTGTCAATTGAACAAAATATCGTTTTTCGAAATTATTTGGTTGATTGGCGGTTGTCGAAAACCAAAAAACTCCAACGTATAAAAGTTTTCAAAACATAAATGAATTCTACAGATATAAAACAAATGAATAAATGACAAAATATACACGATTTTTAGAATGAATGCATATTTCAGTCTTGATTGCTATAATCTTCATACAATCAGAAATGGTCGAATCGGAATAATCTCAATTATGCGTCTTCTGAGCAACGTAGATTTGATTCCTACAGCCTTTTATTTTTATGCTTTTATAAGGAGTACCTTGCTTTAACTTAACGTGTAATGTAATACATAATGTTTATTTCTTTTTTTGTTCGCTCTTCTTACCCGTTCATTTGTATAAATTAATGTCAAACCTACATAAGAAACTAATCATAAGTGAATAAGAAATCGGTAAGTATTGTGAATTTTGTTTTCGTAAAAGCGGTTACACACTGGATATAGGTGTTAACAAAAAATGTGCATATGAGAAAATGTTCTAAGGTTGCGAAGAAACTTTGTCATAACGTAACATATACACTGTAGTTGTTGAATAGTTTAAATTTATGGAAATAGTTTGTATGGTGGGTTCAATTTAATTAATCTGACGAAAGAGTCAATAACAGTTAAACTTTAATGTAAATCAATCTCTTTCATGACAGGTAGCTCGTTATTACACCGGTATATTATTATTACACCTCTAAATCTACACTACAAGTGTGACGTACAACTAATATAATGGGTCAGTAAGCCAAAAATTAAGACCGTTGGTGCATCTCGG